TAGTGATAGTGGTGGTAATGGTTAGGCAGGCGGATAGTGTAAAAAGATAATAGTGAAGAGATATAGGATTAGATTGGTATATATGTTAGACGACGATTATTTGGTTGCTATTTAGCTTGACGTATTGTATTAGGGTTAGATAGAGAGAGAGAAAGAGAGAGAGAGAGTAGTGAAGTACTTGCTTGCTTGACAGGTGGCACTTGTTTTCTAAATGAATCTTTTTTTTTTTCATTTTTCTCTCTCCCTCTCTTTCTCCCTTTCTCTCCCCTCTCTCTCTTCCTCTCTCTCCCCTCTCTTTCTTCCCCTCTCTCTCTCCCTCTCTCTCTCTTTTTCATTTCAAGAACATAACATAACATATTCCTTCAATGATTTTTCTCATCATTTCTTTTTCATTCTGTTCAAAACTTCATTGTTTCTTTTCTCTTCTATACGTATTGATATATATATATATGTATATGTATAAATAAATTATGTATTTTATTCTGATTAAAATTCAAATTTAAATTTAAGAAAAAAAATTTTAAAAAACGAATTGAAATTTAATTCACAAAAATTTAATTGTTTTTCACTTTAACCAAAACAAAAAAGTTATTTCATTGAATTCATTCACTTCTTAATGATAGTTTTTCTTAATTTTTAAATGATAAAAATTAGAACAATTTTTATTTATTGCATAATAGTTTAGAAGAATTGTGTTTACAAGGGAAAATCATGATTTTCTATTTGTTATTTTTTAAATGATAAAAATTAGAATGATTAATAGATGTTTTTTTTATTTATGCATAATAGTTTAGAAGAATTGTGTTTACAAGGCAAAATCATGATTTTCTTTTTCCTTTTAACTTAAATCAATATTGCTAATCATTTTTGGATATTTTTTTTTTTGATAAGAAAAAAACTATATTACTATCAGTTAAAATTAATCAACCTGATATATGCACCTGATATATCATGTTAATTAATTTATGATAGTTATATTGTTTTCTTTATGACGCTTTTTTATGTTATTATTGGAAATTTATTAATGATATATATATATATATATATATTTGTTTAGTGATCTTTTTCATTACACTATCTTTTATTTGTGCATTTGTTAAATCAAAAAAATGAGCCAAAAAAGGAATCAAAAACATCGATATGTTATTTTCCGGAATGCTGTAAATAAGTATGAAATGTGAAATTTTGATTATATACAGGAGAAAAAATGAGCATTTATGATTTTCCTAAATTTCGATCATTCTATCTATTTCATATTTTTGATTTTTAAATTATTGAACTGATTTGAAAAATGCTTTTTTTCTATTGATTACAATTGATGATAACAAATATTTATCATTTTTTTTTCATTGAAAAAATTTCCTCCTTCTTTTTTATCACCATCCATTATATATATCATTTGTTGAAGAATGATTGTATAGCAAAAAAAGTAAATATAAATTTATTAAAAAAATAAATTTTAATTTTTCATCATTTAAAATTTAAGAATATTACATTTATCAATCATGTTAAATTTGTTTATTAAAATTTCATAAAATAAACAGGTGTAGTATACTCTTATTGAATTCCATTTCAAAATTCCTTCCGAAAATTTACATTTCCATCATCTATTTCATTAATAATGAAATAGATTACCGTCTGCATCGTTTTCTCGCATTTTTTTTACCTGTCGTAAATTTGTTATTTATAATAAGATGACATTTGACTTTTTGTTTATTTCAATTTTCTGTCAACTCTAAAATTTTACCTTTTTCTTTTAATATCATAAATTCAATTTTCATATTTGATTTCTTTCTAATTCTTATATTCTTCAATTTCAGAGTGGTAGTTTCTTTGTAAAATTCAAATACTTTCAATTTTTAAGTTTTCGTTTTCAAATACTTTCATTTCTTTTATCCTAAATTGATATCGCTTTACTACATTAAGAGTAATTTCCAATTTTCTTTTCTTCTCTTTTGAAACTATTCTTTGTTTTTAACTAATTGCTAAAATATAAAATAGAAATTGATAATTAAAAAATTCTATGAAAAGAATTTAATTTATTTTTTTATAATTTAAATGAAATTTGGAAAATTTTCATTTATAAAACAACGGATAAATAAGAAAAGCGAAATTTAAAAATTACTTCAAAAAGGAGGAATTTATTAAAATTTTTTTAATCGTTTTTTGCTAGCAATGTTGAGTTACTGCTATTTACTAGCATCATTATTATCATTTATCAATTATCACAGTGAAAGATTTGATTATTGTAGAAAATATTTCGGAGTTATAGTTAGATTAGATTAGTGATTAAGCAAATAGTTTTAATTTAGGATTTTTAATTTCATCAATTAAATCGTACAACTAATTCTATCATGTGTCCAAAAATTGGAAATTTTGAAACTTCATTTATTTTTTTCATCGTAAGTTATCATTTACTATCATTATCATTAATATATTTTTACACCAATTCTACTACAGTATCATTATCAGCAATAGTAATAATGCTCATTGTTATTCTCATAATTTATAATCACCATACTTCTGATCATTTTTTTTATCATTATCATCATCATCATCATTAAATAACAACAGTATTATCATTTATGATAGTTTTGGATATTTTATTATTTATAATCTTGTTTTGTATCATTTTTTTATGCGGTATTGTTATCACAAAATTTCGTCTTATCATTTAATGAATTTTCATTTTACATCGATTGATCATCATCATTAAATAACAACAATATATATTATCATTTATGATAATTTAGGATGTTTAATTATCTATAATCTTGTTTTGTGTTCATTTTTTTATGCGGTATTGTTTTGTCTTATTATTTAATGAATTGTTCATTTTATTTACATCGATTGAAATGAATCTTTGAAAATTTTCCAACAAAATTTCTCATGAAAGCCACTTTTTTTGCCACCTCTTTTTTATTTGGTTTCCCTATGAAAATTCGAAATTCTACGATAACGATACATTCTTTTTCACTCTCTTTTCTCTTTGCTTTCACACATTTTAAAATGATTTAGCTTTTTAATTCAATTTTAAAATAGCCATTCTTCGTCCAACCTCTTTTTCAAATTTTATTTCACAAAATTTTGGCCTAAAAAAAAAAAGCTAAAAGAAAATTGCCTATGTAAAAATTGCCTATGTTTAATTTTACATTATTGAAAATGAAAATCACTTCTTCTATTTCTTGTTTGTCAGGGGTTTTTTCCCCAAAACAAAAGAAATAATTTGTTATTTAAATTCACTTCGAATGGAGCATAATTAGTTGAAATTTATAATCAATAATAGTTATTAATTAATTAATCTTTTTGTTTTTTTTTTTGGATTTTTTTAAAAAAAGTAAAATTAAGAAATGAATCATTTTTATTGGAAAAAAAAAATTTGATATCTAAAATTATTACGCGATTCTAATGATGATTATGAAATTATCATAATTATGATTGTTGAATCATTGAATGCTATTATAAAGATGAAATATTTTGGATAGTTGTTAACAATTATTCTATTTCAAGTTACAGATTATAATGAAATAATTGAATTTAGAATTAAGTGAAATAATAGGATTGATTAGTGCGTAAAGTTTGTTTTTACTGCAAAAGTTTCCAAAATTTAGGATTAGAAAAGAATTAAAAGAAAAGATATATAAATAGCTATTGCTTCTTTTCTACGACAATAATTCTGCATTTTTCTTAAAATGAATTGTCAATCAAACTTTTGAATGACATATCTTTAATGGAAAGACACAACGAATTAGTTAGTCAATATTTTACTTAGCTTTCTATACTTTCTATTTATTACCCTACTAAGTTGTTAATATTACCATATGATTAAATCACTATTATTATAAATGAAGAAAAAAATGATTTAAAAGGATCTTATCATAAAAAATACGTAGATATGAAATTTTAGTGACGATAAAAATCGATGAATTAGATAATTCATTAGACGTATTGAAGTTATTAGAGATCATTACTGTAGTATAGTTTATTATTGTATACTATCGCATACTTCATTATATTTTATCATTACTTTATGTTTCGTAAGATTATTTATTATTGATGAATTATTATTATTTATTACAAGTATGTGTATGTATGTGTGTGTGTGTGTGTGTGTGTGTGTTTGTATGCTAAAATACGTAATTAGGAATTTCCTTTACAGTCTTATAATTTAGGAAACTTACATTTGCAAAATTAATTTAAGGCTTATTTAAAAGAAAAGAAAAAATGAAAAGAAAAAAATGAACTTATCATTACTAACTAATGATATTAGTTAGTAATGATAAGTTTGTTTTTGTTTCTATTATATTAAAAAAAAGTTTCAATTTTCTATAGTTTTGAAATTTTCAAAAATTTTCATAGCTTTTTCTAAATTATCAAAATTTAAGAAAAATAAATTGAATAGGAAAGCATAAATAGGTGAAATAATCAAGTAGATAAGATAAAGATAATAATTTCTTAGCAATCATTCAATTAGTGAAAAATAGCAAAAAAATTTGTTACGCTAATTAACACTTCTGATCAATTCAACTTTACGATAACAATTAAATTTAATTCCGTCTTAATTTTTGGAAGAGAAAAAAAAAAAAACGAAAGGAAAACTAACGAAGGATATTGAATAGTTGTTATCTGTTATCATTTTACTATCTAAATTTTCAAGCATTATCATCGTTAACAATCACAATCACAATTCATTAAGAAATAATTAAATAGATTAAAGAAAGTTTAATATTAACGAAAGGAAAGGTAAAAAAATTAATGATAAATTATCAAAAATTATAATATTGAAAATAAATAATTAATTAATTAATTGAATATTGAAAATGATTAATTAAATTAATAAATTTAATGAATTGTTGTAAATTTTTATCAAAAAAAAAAAAAGAATGGAAAAATTTTTTTCATTCGGATAACAAAATATTGAGCGTCAAAGTATCAGTCATACTTTCTTTCCGTTTTTTTCGCATTTACGATTTAACTAAATAGAACGAAGAATGGGAGAGATGGTTTGGTTGGTTGGTTGGTTGGTTGGTTGGTTGGATGGTTGGTTGGATGGTTGGTTGGATGGTTGGTTGGTTGGTTGGATGGTTGGTTGGATGGTTGGTTGGATGGTTGGATGGTTGGTTGGTTGGTTGGTTGGTTGGATGGTTGGTTGGTTGGTTGGTTGGATGGAAAGGCGAAATCGATTGAGAGAGAGAGAGAGGAGGAAATTTGAGACATAAATGACTTCGTATGACGTCGTCCATTTTCAACTGTAAACAATGAAAATTCCAAGTAAGTCCTCCTCCTCCTCCACCTCCTCTTCCTCCTCCTCCACCTCCTCTTCCTCCTCCTCCATCTCCTCCTCTTCCTCCTCCTCTTCGTCTATCTAAAGTTTTTTTTTTGTTTTTTGTTTTTCAAAGATAAATTATAATTTTTGTTTATTAAAAAGCGGTAACTCTTTTCTTTTCTATTCATTTAAATTATTTTGAAATTTAAATGTTTGATTTCTTTTTTTGAAATGTTCAAGAAAAAAAAATGCTAAAAAGAACGTTTAGAAATTGTTTATTTATTAAATCACTTACTTTTCTTCTTTCCAACCTTTCCTATAAAGATAAATTAGAAAATCTTTTTCTTTTTGTTTTTTCTGCTAATTATTTAAATTAGACAGGTGGAAAAATTTTTTTGATAATAATTTTCAAACATGCAATGATATTAGTTAAGAATGATATTATCAATGTTTTTTTTTTTTGATAATCAAATTTATTTTAATCTTTATCATTCAATATTTCTCAAACGAATCATAAGATTTTCATAATACTTCATTTTATAATTTCCACATTACGTTTTGATAATCAAATTTATTTTAATCTTTATCATTCAATATTTCTCAAGCGAATCATAAGATTTTCGTAATACTTCATTTTATAATTTCCAAATTACGACATATAATTTGTGTCAAATAACTATATATATAAATATTATGATTGATTTATATATTATGTGAATATTTATAAATATTATGATTGATTTATATATTATGTGAATATTTCAAAAATTCATTCCAATGTAATCAATACTAATTTCTTAACTATGTTTTACTTATATCAAATATTATTATTGCTAATTTTAGTATGTTAAATTTTTAATTTTTTTCAATTATATATCGGAAAGATATATTGTAGTTATTTTTCGAATTACATACCGGAAAGATATAATTGTAATTTTTCCCAATTATATACCTTGGAAAGATATATTGTAGTGGATGAAAAATGGGATGGGATAATCGTTCGTTGCTGTTTTGAATGGGATATTCGTTCGTTGCTGTTCTGAATAATCAATATTAGAATATATATGGAAACTTAAAGCACGACATATAATTATAGTGAATATGACTAGTTAGCATATCTGATGATATTGATGACTTTTTCGTCTTTTTTTTTTAAAATTGATGGATGGATATTGATGATAGTATTTTGGTCATGCTTATATAATCAGAATAATATTTCAAATTTAAATTTAACAAAAATATAATTCTTATATCTATTTTTTAATACTCATTATGATTATTCTAATAAATGAGCTTTAAGATTAGATGAATTAAGATTAAATAACCTTAATTCATATAATCTTTGATAGTTATAATATTTGATAAGAGAAGATGAAAATTTCCCGTACCAATTAATTATTTATAATAATTTAAATTTTCGAATTGCTAAATTTTTTTTAGATTATTTTAACATATGCTTATAGAAATATAAAATGATGTGCTTTTTTTTCTAAAGAGGAAAAGATTAATTTAATAATAATTTTTGTTGACAACCTTTATATTTATAAGTAATCCATTCTTACGCTTAATTTTATATTTATCTAAAAAAAATGTTATAAAATAGAAGGTTTATGAAAGATTTTTTTGTTTTAAGAAATAAACAAACTGCGCAAATATCCTCCCTTGTATTTCATTCATTAAGTGATATAAAATTAAAATTTAATTTTAATATTTATTTTAAAGAAAAAAAAAAAATTAAAAAATTTCAAATAAACAAATTGTGATGGTTGAAATGATTTCAAATAACAAAAATAAAAAATTGATAAAAATATTTAATGAAATTTTCAAATATTTTCAAAATTCCAATCGTAATAGGATATTTGGTAAGGAATTCGTTATTTGTCCTTTACATTCATTCATTCATTCTCTCATTCATTCATTTCATTCTCTCATTCATTCATTTCATTCTCTCATTCATTCGATATTAACCACCAAATAAGCGAAGCATCAAAACAAAATTCTCTTCTCCTCCCATCTTCTCATCTCACATCCCCTTTCCCATCACAATCTTCTCCATTTTCACGTCATTTCACGTATCCGATCGTTCGATCATTTTCCCACATCGTCCCAATTTAACAATTTATTTCTGTTATCTTACATTGCCATAGCAGCAGCAGCAGCAACAGCACTAACTATTATTTGTGTTATATTTTATTTTTCATTCTTTTCTTTATTGTTTAATGAAATTTTCATTTTCATTTAATATATTTCATTAATTTGAGATATTTTATAATTAAGAAATATTCAATTTGGATTATGAAAAATGATTGAAGTGTAAAAAAGATTTTAAAGAAAGTATAATTAATATTATTTTGGGCAATTATCAAATGATTTAGGATGATGTTATCAATTGGAATATATTAAATGGAATGATTTGTAAATTTGATATCGTTAGTTATCATTTCAGAAATTTTTCCCATATTCATTATCTATAACAATGTTGCATTTGATAATAGCCAAGTAAATAAATAATCGTTAGTTTTCGTTGTTATGATATGTTGTGATAAAGTTATTTGTAATAATTACGAAAGATTTAAGATCAAACATACCTAATTTCAATTTTATTTCCTATTAAACTACAAATTATTGCTATTTTTTTTTATTTTCTAGGATATTTAAAATGATGTTATAAAAGACAGCCAACAT